ACTAATTTAAAAGCTATAGCATGAAAACAAAAACCAAGCACAAAATGGTTACTAGGTCGATCCCATGGACCGAGCCCAGGTTGAAAGAGTTAAAAACAAAAGTAACTTCAGAAAAATTCTCCTATCCTCAGGCACTTGTTCACTATCTACATTGTCTGGTTTCAATTCTATATTTTTAATCTCTCAATCCTTCTTTTTATCACCAAGGGACTAATATCTAAATGATTCAGATCAATCCCATTGTAGGAATATCGTTGATTTCCTGAAAGATAACAGGTGTATTTAAGTTTTCATTTTTTCCTCAATGGGGAGTATGCAGAGACAACTTGAAGGAATAAATGTTACCTTGTTGTCCATCTGTTAATTCCTTGAACACTATTTCTCTCCTTAAAAATAAGTTAATTTAAAATCTTTAATTAAAAATAAGGTTAGTGCTGTAAATATGCTCTTCTATTTCCTTTTATTATCCTAGAATAAAGATCTGGGGGAAATGCCCATTTCCCTCTAATTTTCCAATCTTAGTACTCTGGCTTAATCTACCCTATGACTTCCCTTATATATATATATATATATATATATAAACTTACTTCAGACATACCACAGAATCCAATCTGACTTTTGATGCATCAGTAGCTACCAAAAGTGGTAATTGACAATTTGTAAAAACAAATACTAGATTAAGATTTGAAACAATTACAAAAATATACAATTACTTCTTTGCAAAAAAGTCTATACAGTTTCAGTCTTAGAAGGAACAGAATGGTTACCATAGAATGTAACAGTACATACCAATGTAAATACTAAATTATACTATATTTTCAAATTATGATTTTGTGAAAAAAAAGAAGGTTTTGCTGATAAAACAGTATTTAAACAAAGTACACCATCTTTTTCAAAAACTTTCAGCTACAAATATACCTTTAAAGCTATTAATATGTTAAAAATCAAATCACTGTAAATAATTACAAAACAATTTTTAATCTATTTAATACATAAATAGACTAAATATTGTGAATATACTTAAGTTGTGTTCAAAAGTGCTTTGATCCAGAACAGTAATGCAACTGTATTCTCCAAAACAACAAAATCAAACAGACTACAATGTCAAATCAAAGAGAAAAAAATTATATTTTCTGATTGGTGGTTCAGTTACTTTCTTTTTCTACTTTTAGAAATAAAGAATTTAAGCATGCTGAAGTTGAGAAATGAATATTACCATTTTGCATTGAAAAAACAATGTGTGAGTCAATTAAAATGATCAAAATAAAACAGACACTTAAAATTCAGCCATCCATTAGACTAATGTATCACATTAGTTCTATCAGATTTGTGATAACTCATTGCAAAAACAATTTCCTTCAATATTGTCAAAATACTAAATTCAACAAAATAAATCTTTAACTCAAATATACACTTAAGCAGCTGAAAAAAAAAAATAATAACCTGTACCAGTAACACACTACTGGGCACATGCAAAAATTGTTATAAAATCAACACAAAATGATGAAAGAATGAGGTACAATGTTGTTCATAAATTGGAAACACAGCAAACAATTTCTCTTTTCTGACAAACAAGATTATGTCATTCTAAAAAACTACTCAACAAATAAAAAGTGTGTAAGGTATAACCTATAACTATAAGGTAAAAGTGAAATATTTTGAAGCAATACAATCTCTTTGTGTTGTAATAGTATATTTTGTGATTGTACTGATAGATTGTGGAAAAAGTGAATTTTTATATTATTAGCACACATTATGCAGTAGAAAACATATAACACCTTATACCAGAGGGGGTCTGAAGTAATACATCAAATTTATGAAATTACCATTTAATGAAAGAGTAACAAATAAAATGTGAGGTTTCTCTCAACTTGCTTATACACCATCAAAGCATAAAAATAAGATAAATGTGGAGCCAGATCTTTGTTTTAAACTATCAGACATTGGCCCAGAAATTATCAAGATTGTTTCAGCAAAGCAGTATCATCCTTCACATTAAAGTAAGTCATAGGATTTTTTTTCAATTTTCCATAATTAAATCTCTTTTCATTGTTCTTTTCTTAAAACTAGAATCAAGCTGTAAAGGTAGTAAAATACACATATGGTATACCAGTTACACATGATAAAAACTATTCTTAATGGGAGTTGAAGGTGGTATACCGATTGGCAAAGTTTTGAAACCCTTTCCTTATAAGTTATAGTTATATTACAGTTATACATTAGTGGGTGCTATCACTGTACTAAACTACTATCAGTATCATGCCAGTATTAATGCTGAGCCCTGAAAAGTGAAATAAAATAGAGTAGGCTCAATTTTGAGTTGGCATTGGTTTATTTTCATATAACCCAACCATTAGGACTATCTGCATTAGCCATCCCCAATTTTGAACTATTATTGATAGTAATACTACAGTCAACAGTAACAAAAATATTCACAACTTTTACTACTAGTACTACTTAAAACATTTACATTAACTTAGCTACTTCCGAAAACAGCATTATAAACAATAAGGAAACGACAGCAGTTGACACATTTTAAGTTAAAAGCTGATGTTTTTAAAACACTTAACTTTATATAAGTAATGCGTTATTCTTTCCTCTTGCCTTACCTCGTCAATTGTTCAACGATGCTTCTGCCCCCTGTACATATGTTAAATGAATGAAATTAGATCAAATTTTATATAAACTTTTTCTTTCAATAAATATGGAAACTATAGACAAATCTTAATTTGTTTTATAATAATGTTGCGTCAGCGAGTCACATGACTACTGTGACGCCTCGTTTCTAGAACTATCCTGTACTTTGGCGAATGCTCTAGTATTTACTAGATATAGGGTAGTCGGGTATATAAAAGAGGGGGACAACGTGACGCGGTAATGTGTGTATAGACAGTGAGTAATTGAACTGCAGCCAGAGAGCACAAGAGACGTTACAGCGTTTGTTTAGCGCGATTG